AGATGGATCAAATTACCTAAGGAGTACGTTGTGTCTACTGAATAAAGTGAGTCAGCACCCATACATGTATGCTATTTGTAAAAGTGATAGTCTTCATTCAGCTGTTAAGTCACACCTGGCATTCAAAGCCTGTTTCTCAAACACAAAGCCCTTGAAAGCTTTTCCTCTTTAATATACACCCAACATTGTTTTATTCACTGGAATAATTTTAAGTTATAGGCTCTTTTCCCAACGAGATCAAGTAGGAAAAAAAAAATGTGAACTTACCATATGTTAAATGTATTCATTCATTTCTTCACTGAGCATGTGCTCCTGCCTGCTATGCCTAAGGCATTATGCCAGGCACTGCGATACCAGGGCAAATAAGACAGAGCCAGGCCCATGAGTTCCTCATAGTTTAGCAGGCACCCACACCAGTTATAGCAGTAAAGTGTTATAGGTACATGATAGAAATCTGCATAGTCATTACAGAAAGGGCCCAAAAAGCCACAGCTGGGTTCAACCTGTGGAAGCTCAAATTGCACAGAAGAGATGAGAAAGAGTGACTTGGCCAAAAATGCATGATATTTCAGATACATGTCCAAGCATCACTTTTCTATACAGTCTGTCATTAAGGGAGTAATGTGTCCAGATACAAAACAATTTGCTATTTCTGGCAGTAATAACGGGCATGCTTAGTAGCTATGGTATTGGCTCAAGCAATATGTGTGAGATGTTTTTAATTGAGGTTGATGATTTATATTTTCTTCTACAGAACAGTTCACAACTACTGACAAACATTTCTAGTTCTCAGCTAGCTGATCTACAAATAAAACAAACCAGTGGTTCAACTCATTCTGCAACAATCTTCTAGCCCAGTGCCTACCAAATTTGTACATCCTAGAGCTGTGACTTCACTATTTAAGACATATCTGGTGAAATCTGAATATGGCCTGATCTGATTTGGATTTATGTCCTCACCCAAATCTCACATTGGCTTGTAATCCCCAGTGTTGGAGGAGGGGCTTGGTGGGAGGTAACTGGATCAATGGAGGCAGACTTCCCCCTTGCAGTTCTTATGATAGTGAATGAGTGCTCACAAGATCTGGTTGTTTAAAAGTTTGTAGCACTCCCCATTTTGTTCTCTCTTCCTCCTTCTCCAGCCATGTAAGATGTGCCTCCTTCCCCTTCACCTTCTGCCATGATTGAAGGTTTCTCAAGGCCTCAACAGCCATGGTTCCTGTACAGCCTGCAGAACTGTGAGTCAATTAAGCTTCTTTACCCAGTCTCAGGTAGTTCTTTATAGCAACGCAAGAATGGACTAATACAGAAAAATGGTACCAAGAGTGGGATATTGCTATAAAGATACCTGAAAATGTGGAAGTGATTTTGGAACTGGGTAATGGGCAGAGGTTGGAACAGTTTGGAGGGCTCAGATGAAGACTGGAAGAAGAGGGAAAGTTTGGAACTTCCTAGAGACTTGTTGAATTGTTGTGACTGAAATGCTGATAGTGATATGAACAAAAAAGTCCTGGCTGAGGTGGTCTCAGATGCAGATGAGGAACTTATTGGGAATTGGAGCAAAGGACACTTTTGTTACACATTAGCAAAGAAGTTGGTGGAATTTATATTTAAAAGGGAAGCAGAGCATAAAAGTTTGGAAAATTTGCAGCCCAGCCATGTGGTGGAAAAGAAAAACCCACTTTTTCTTGGTAGGAATTCAAGCCAGCTGCAGAAATTTGCATAAGTAAAGAGGAGCCAAATGTTAACAGCCACAACAATGGGGAAAATGCCTAGAAGGCATTTCAGAGACCTTTGTGGCAGCCCCTCCCATAACAGGCCCAGAGGTCTAGGAGGGAAGAATGGTTTTCTGGGCCTAGCCCAGAAAAGTTAGAGCTACCTTGGTTGAGCAAAGTTGCTCAAACCCTGAGCAACCTTGGGACACTGCTCCATGTGTCCCAGCCACTCCAGCTCCAGCCATGGCTAAAAGGGCCCCAGATATGTCTCCGGCCACTGCTCCAGAAGGTACAAGCCATAAGCCTAGGCGGCTTTCATGTGGTGTTAAACCTGCGGGTGCACAGAGGGTGAGAGTTGAGGCTTGGAAGCCTCTGCCTAGATTTCAGAGGATGTATGGAAACACCTGGATGTCCAGGCAGAAGTCTGTTACAGGGGCAGAACCCTCATGAAGAATCTCTACTAGAGCAGTTCAGGGGGGAAATATAGGGTTGGAGCCCCGATACAGAGTCCCCACTGGGGAACTGCCTACTGGAGCTGTGAAAAGAAGGTCATTGTCCTCCAGATCTCAGAACGGTAGATCTACCAACAGCTTGCACCATGTGCCTGGAAAACCCACAAGCACTCAATGCCAGACCATGAAAGCAGACAAAGGGGCTGTAGCCTGCAGAGCCACAGGGGTGGAGCTGCCCAAGGCCTTGGAAGCTCACCCTTGGGAGCTCACCCCTTGTATCAGTGTGGCATGGATATGAGACATGCAGTCAAAGGAGATCATTTTGGAGTTTTAAGATTTAATAACTGCCCTGCTGGGTTTTGGATTTGCATAGGGCCTGTAGCCCCTTTGTTTTGGCTGAGTTCTTTTGGAATGGGTGTGTTTACCCAATGCCTATACCCCCATTGTATCTTGGAAGTAACTAACTTGTTTTTTTTATTTTACAAGCTCATGGGCAAAAAGGACTTGCCTTGTCTCAGATGAGACTTTGGGCTGTGGACTTTTGACTTAATGCTGAAATGAGTTAAGATTTGGGGGGACTGTTGAGAAGGGATGATTGTGTTTTGAAATGTGAGAAAGACATGAGATTTGGGAGTGACAGGGATGGAATGATATGGTTTGGATTTGAGTCCTCACCCAAATCTCATGTTGAATTGTAATCCCGACGTTGGAGGAGAAGCCTTGTGGAAGGGTGATTAGATCATGAAGACAGACTTCCCCCTTGCCATTCTCATAATAGTGAGTGAGTTCTCACAAGATCTGGTTGTTTAAAAGTGTGTAGCACCTCCCCCTTCGCTCTTTCTTCCCCGCTTCTCCAGTCATGTAAGACGTGCCTGCTTCCCCTTTCCCTTCTGACATGATTGTAAGTTTCCTGAGGCCTTGCCAGCCACGCTTCCTATACAGCCTGCAGAACTGTGAGTCAATTAAACCTCTTTTCTTTATGCCTAGTCTCAGGTAGTTCTTTATAGCAATGTGAGAACAGATTAATGCAGGATTTTTGTTTAGTTAATAATATTATACTAATGTTAAGTTTCTTAGTTGGGAAATTATACTATAGTTACACAGATATTAAAACTGGGGAACTTGAGGAAAGCGAGATATGGGAATACTCTGTACTAGTTTTGCAACTTTTCTATCAATTTAGAATTAGTTTCAAGTTAAAAGTAAATAAATGTCTGTACATAGATATAAATATAGATAGGTATATGAATATATTTCCATTTTTATGAGATCAGTGCTACTCAAAGTGTGTTCCACAAACCCTTTATTACCAATCATAGACAAGCTAAAGCTAAATATAGAAAATGGAAGCAAGCATTTAGAAACTTTCATAACAATTTGACATTTCTAAAATATTTAAGCATATGATTCTTTTCCTAGAAGTTCATTTTTATCACATTTTTTAAAAGCATCAGTCTGTATTAGGATTCTCCAGAGAAACAGAGCCAACAGGATATGTGTGTGTGTATATGTATAGATAGGGATTTATTTTAAGGAATTGGCTCATGTAATTGTGGAACCAAAATCCAAAGAAATCGGATGGGGTAGACCAGCAGGCTGGAGATTTAGGGAAGAGATGCAGAGTCCAAAGGCAGACTACTGACAGAATTCCTTCTTGCTCAGAGGAGGTCAGTCTCTGTTCTCTTAAGCCCTTCAACTGATTAGATGAGGCCCATCCACAATATGAATCATAATCAGCTTTACTCAAAGTCTACTGATTTAAACATGAATCTCATCCAAAAACCACCTTCACAGAAATATTCGGAATAATATTTGACTAAATATCTGGGCACTGTAGTCCAGATAAGTTGGTGCATCAAATTAACCATCATCTAGTCCATGACAGATTAAAAAATTAAAAAGAAAAAGAAAAGTTCTACATTGGAGATATTTTGAGAAGCTTTGTGTCATATAACTTTTAGTAGTCTACCAAATGGTTGTATTAATTTAAAAATTCACACTAAGATTGCTTATTTCACATGGGAACAGGGAAAAATTCTGGGAGTAGTGTCCCGGCTGGTGTGGGAAGAGGAGGATCTAATCACTTTTTAATTCTGACCAACGAGCCTGAACCATTAAAATCTACCTTTGTATTGCTCTAATTCAGAGTTCCCAAACTGTCTCATGTCACAGCATTTTAGTATCCCTGTAATTTTTTCACAGAGTCCCTAGGCAAAAGGAAATACTTACCCAACATTTCATTTATCCAGTAGTTAGGTCCCAACAACTTAGTTGTTTGAAAAAAATAATACACATAAATCGAAAGAAAAAAATTTATTTCATTCTTAAATACTCGGTTACTTTTAAAAGGATGTGTATGCCCGAGGTCAAGAGATTGAGACCATCCTGGCCAACATAGTGAAACCCTGTCTCTACTAAAAATACAAAAATTAGCTGGGCGTGGTGGCACGCACCTGTAGTGCTAGCTACTCGGGAGGCTGAGGCAGGAGAATCGCTTGACCCCAGGAGGCAGAGGTTGCAGGGAGCTGAGATCGCACCACTGAACTCCAACCTGGCAACAGAGTGAGACTCCGTCCAAAAAAAAGAAAAAGGGTTGCATATGCCAATTGGGCACCAAATATCTTCTCAAATCTTGGAACCCATGTGGACACACGTGCCTTCACCTCCTATTCCACACTGATTTTCTCTGGGGACTTGCATTTTACAACTGCTGAAAACTCAGCTTCCCAAAGACAGGACATTTTTGAAAGAAATGTAGCACAATCTAATGTTGGAACAATGAACTACCTTGAGCTAATAGTTCAGTTGATATCCAAGAGATGTCAAGTGCCACTGTATTTCCTTGATATTTAAAATGTGCCACAGCCCCCCTCTAAGTTTGCTGCAAAGTCTTGGGTGCTTAGGACACAGTTTGGGAGTCATGACTCTATTCTTTTCCCATTTTTAATTCCATTTTCTCATGTGCAAAATATAAGCATGTTCTTTAAGTGTCTAGTAATAACCTTTGTTAAACCTAAGGTTATGCAGAATAAAACACTTACTGTTATGTCACAACTCTGAGCTTTCACTGCTAGCAATCACAAGGTTGTGTATTCTCTTTTCATTCTTTATCTGTGGTGAACATAGTAGACGAGACGACCTCCAGTGGCCAGACATCTCAAACATATGCCTAAGAGAGCACAACAAAATATTTTGCTTTGTATTATATTTAAATCAGAATACAGTTCTTAACTATGCTACTTTTTGACAGATAATTAGATCAAGAGTAAAAGCAGCACGAAAATACGTATAATTTGGTATACCTCTCACTAATGGTTAACCATTTTCAATCATGTCTTAATCTAATTCTGATTTATCTGACCAATTATATTTATTTCACTCACCCTAAATTCTTATAATTGTGGCCAAAAGTCCCTTCGATCATAAAAGTGACTCTGACAACAGTTCTTTGGGGCTTACACACAGCTTGAAATCAAAAGCCTTTGTTTTCTTCCTCTGGGTCAATATCTCCTCATCATAACTGTTGTCATCATCATCAGAATATGAACTATTTATCTTGTTTGACTGGTGTCAACAGTTGGAGACATTACTTCTCTCTGTCTCGTGTTTCTAGCTTTCTCCTGGTTGATTTTCCATGGGCAGAGGAAAGGAGAAAGCAAGAGAAAAATCTCTCACATCCCTGCAAGATTATTCCTTCCTAACAACAACAAAAGACTTCCTCCCACCACCTTTCTGAAGCTTCTTTTATCTACTATTTACTAGCAGCTACATACATTGATACAACCTGTCTCTGATATTAAGCTCCTGTCTTGTAATGGAGACCATATTCCCTTTCCAGGGATACATCCAAGCTTATCAAAACACTTTTTGAAAACCTCTTTCATAATAAACAGAACACAATTTTAGACGGTGGCACAGCATGACTTCGCACCGTAGGACAGAGGTCTGATGCCCAAATGCCGTACAGTGGTACCCTACCCATGACCTCATTTTCACCAGCCTGACGCTGAACCGCCCCCTTCTTTCTTGCCGGGGCTTTTCTATAAACCAGTTGTCAACAAATATATTGGATTCTTTACACTTTGATCTACCTAATATTTTGAAAGAGGCACATTATTCACTCAACTCCAAGTTCCTTTCCAATTACCTGGCGGGGTTTGGTGGGGAGCAGTGAGCTGGATACCTGTTTGAAGCAGGTGTCCCAGAAGCCACCTTGCTGTGCATAGACGTCAGCTGGCATACAGCCTTCAGTAGTAAGGCTGATGGAAGATGCGTAGTAAAAATTAAAAGCCTAGGAAAAGTACAGGCCCCCAAGCCAGAGCAGAGCAGTTGAGTGTTAGTTCCTTCTGAGAGCAGGGCGGGAACAATTTCTTGCCCTGCTCCTGGGGATAAAAGTAAAGTCTAAACTTTTTTGCAAAAGTGACTAATTCCCCACCAGAGAGCCTCCCGCGATTGCAGAGCTAATTTCGTGAGTCGTAAATGAAGGGTCTTTCAAAGTGAGAGCTGACAGAGGAAGAAACAGAGAAAAAGTAAAAGCAAATCCCTAAACATTACCCACATTGCAAAACAGAAGGGAATTTTCAGAAGCAATGAGAGAGAACGGCCCACCTCCAGATCTCCCTCAGACATGTTTTCTTCCTTCCTGACTCATCGAGTTTCTTTAGGAAAGCCTAGTGAGAAGGGATTATGAAGCAGGCAAGGGAGCCAGCCTTTTCTGGCAACACAGGGCATTTTGATTTCAGAATCTGCAAATCTTCAAGAACAGACCCGGTGTGCTAGTGTTCTAGGCCGGAGTCCAGCAGCAGTTCAGCTGCAGATGAAGCAAATCGGCTGGTTGGTGCTGTCAGCCAGAGACCCAAGGACTTTCCTGGTGCTACACCTCTCTGGAAGTTTGAAGACATTGGGACAGGTTTGCCTTCTGAAATGTGCAAATGTCAACAGCCGGGAATGGCACATGCCAAGAGGCATCTGAAAACAGATCTCCATCTGGCAATGGGCTAGGCTTCCTGGGACACAGATTAGAATAGTTTGAAACAAAGGGGCGGAAGCACCGGTTAAGCTTTTCATATTGTTACGGTCTCTGGGTCACTTCCTGCCTTTGGAATTTATTTCCTTTTCAGGTTCAGCAAAATTCAATGAATGACAAGAAAGAGGTTGGGGTTTGTCTTTGCCTCCGGCCCAGTCGAGAAGCAGCTCTGCCTCTGTGAACTTGTACCTCTGCAGTGGTTACATCCTCCCGCGCTGTTTGTTCACACTGAGCTCAGCATGGGGGAAGCTTCAGGATGCAACAATAAATTAGGGAAGGGAGCCATCTCCAGTTGAGTCAGATAAATCCTCTTGTTCCTAGAAAACAGAAAAGGAAAGACTAGATTGGGAAGGGCAAAAATGATGTTTTATCAAGGAGGGCTCTTTCTCACCAGCTCCCCGTTCAGAGATGCGGCCGGCCTTGAAGGTAGGAGGCCGAACATGGCTCCATGCAGTCGCACCTCCCACCTCCTGGAGTCAGCCCGTAGACCAGATAGGTACACAGGACAGTGACATTTGCTATATAACAGTGATCAGCTTTGTTTTCTTTTACCAGTATTTAATTTGCACTTTGCTCCAACAGGGACTTCAGGTAGCAATAACTGCCTTTCTGACAGCATGTTCATGCTCATTTTGGGCACTCTGAAGCTAACATGAATGCATATTGCAAAATCCTTCTGCAGCCCCCAGCAATCCCTGTACATCCGCTGCAGTTCTGCAGTGCAGAGACCCCCAGAGGCCAAGGCAGACCCTTTTGCCCCAACAGCTGCAGGACCCTATCAAAACTTAATGTGGTCCCTGCTGCCCCTGTCATTGCTTTGAGAAAGAGTGTGTATCTCTGAATAGTGATCCACCATCATGAACAAGTTCCTTCTGAAAAGCCAGCTCATACAGCCCTTGTCAGGAAGAATCTCGTAGAGCCTGTCCACATGTCCAGAGTCCATCTCTCTCTAGACCGAGGGGTCAGAGTTCACAGCTTTAGAGAAGGGGGTCATTGTTGCCCCCACCTTTAGTCTAAACACAGCTAAACGAACAGCAAACACTATTGTAAATACAAAGGAAGTCGCAACTAGTGATCAGCCTTTCTCCTGGTGCCACTCGATCCCCCAGAAACAGGAACTAAAGCTTCCCCTCCATCAGTTTAAACAGTCTCTTTGCTCAAGGCTGCAGATGCCACCACTGTTGAGAGCTAGCAGTTACAGGGCTGCTGCCTTGGGTTAACACTGTGGCTCAGGCGTCAATCAAATTGACCTTTTCAAATTGCACCAGCACATCTGGCATTCACAGAAATGGTCTCCTGTGACCTCCGCAGCAATTGTTCCCAACCACTTCAGGAAGTTCCAGGGGAAGGAAGGAAGTAGGTAGGGCAGAGATGGCTGTATAAATACCAGGGTCAGGAACACCTGTAGAGTATGAAAGCAACAAGAAGTCTGCCCAAGAGTCCTAACTTTCCTCCACGAAAAAGCACTCTGTCAGATTCAGGCATTATGTTTCTGTATAAAAGTATAACCCAGGTCTGGGAAATTTGCAAATCATTACTTTGAAACTTTACAGAATTTGATCACACAGGGCTGGCAGGGAGCCAGGAATCTGCATTTTTATCAAGCCCACCTGCTGCTACTAGTACAGGTGGTCTGTGGCTCAGACTTTGAAACACTGTGCTGTAAGGAATTGTGAGTCACTGTCAGGTTACCACAGAGGAACTGGTAACACAGATGAAAATTGCACCTGGATTCCAGGCCAGGCTTTGGCAGTCTGTATGATCGACCCTGGGTAAGACAATTTAGTTCTCTGAGACTAAAGGCCTCAGGGCTAGATGGAAGACCTTCAAAAATTTAGAAATAGGTTCTAAATTATGGCCCAAAGGCCTGCAAATTTGGAGCACTGGTCCAAACAGAAAGACCAGGGTCCTGCAGGCATGCCCTGAACACTCACTGAAGTTCTTCATTGCTGAAAACTCCAGCAGCCAAGGTGGAACCTCTTGCCCAAGACTGTAGTCCTAGAACTCTGGGGTCATGGGATGCAAGAACTGCATCTTTGCTCTCAGCCATTTCCAAGTAGGAGAAAGGGAAAGAAAGAAAATTCTATTTATGTAGTACATTATATGGATTATTTTTTAAATTCTCACTTAACCCTTGTATCATTAGTCTCCTTCTGAAGATGAGAGAATTGAAGATCAAAGATGTGAAATAACTTACCCCAGTTCCCCCAGGTCTCATGGCTACAGAATGCTTGAACTGAAATTTCAATTCATGACTTCCAAGATCCAGGTTCCATGTTCTTTCCACAAAACGATTCAGAACTGCAAGTTTTGCTGTGGCCGTTCTGAAGGCCTGGATGTTTGGAAACCCTCAAAATACCCTCACGTCTCCCTGACATCCATCCCACACCTGTTCACCACTCTACTTCAGAATCTCACACACCCTCAGTTTTTCCTCTATCCCTGACCTCCAGCTGATCCCTCAGCTGCACTCATTTCTTATCCCTACAACTTCTTGACTCCCAGTGATTAAAATACATCAGCTGCCACTTCTCCTGGGCTGAGGAGGATGTTTCTGGCCCACAACTACTCCAGCCACTGACTTCAAGATCAAGTCAACTGGGTCCTGGAGAACTCAGTGTATCCCTAAGGATTTCCATGAATTGAGAATCTTTAAATGAATGCTTAAGAGGTGTTTGTGCACTTACTGATTCTAACACCAAAAACACACACAAGCACATACACACAAACACGCACACACACATACACATACACACAAAGAGATCTCTTCTCAACTCAGGGCAGAGACATACAAAACCCTGGGAGAGAAACCAGTGCCCTTCTATTAGGAGATGACACATCGAACCTCAACTTCCTAATAATAGTGATTATTCTGGGATGCTGGGCACCCCCTAGTGGGAGTAATGGAGAGAGAAGACAGACTGTTTTGATGCTGTTCTCAATAACCCATTCCACCCACAACTTCCTGCCCCTTCACTGCCTTCTCCTTCCAGCCCATCTCACTGCTCTTGGAATGACTCATTCTTCCCACGATGATTGGGCCTTTTGCCCCACAAAACCTTCCCTGTCTTTACAGACATAATGGACTAAAATTAAGCAGAAGGCAACGCTGGCAGAACAGCAGGAAAAGCTTCCTATGGGGAGAGCTCTTGAAATGCTAAAATGGCCTTATAAGGCAAACTAAGTAAGACCTAACTGCGCTGGGCAGAACAATAGAGAATATCTCAGAAAGATATTCTTGGAGATGAAGGGGATGAGGGAAAAGCTATTTCCCTGATTTCATACATTAATGCCCCCATCCAACATTCTCAGATTGATTTCATGACAATATAAATGCCCTGTGTACATCTAACCCCTTTTAAGGCCAAGAGAACACCCAACATTTATACATTTGAAATAAACAGATGAAGCCTGTCCCAGCAGAGTGGCAGCTCATCCATGAACTGGGCACTACGTAGCACTGTGGGACATTCTGAACATTTGTGTACTAATACCCACTCTTTTCAAGGCCACTGCCATAGCTCCCCACGACAGGATGAGTCCTACTATGTTGTAAACAATAAAGTGTTTTCTGAGTGTTTACGTTATACTAGGCTTGAGATTCGTAAGCATTTTTAAGACATGCCCACGTCTAGTTCAATCCCTTCTCCAAACAAGAGCCTTAATAAAAGAAAGGGAGAGTAACAGATTTAAGTGCATGCGCTAAGAATCCTTCTGGGCATGTTCACAGTTCTTATTTTAGTTAAGTATTTGATAACTTGTTCACTCGGTAAGGGGCCAGCCAGTCAGTCTCATCTTGGGGACCAGTGCCTGTCTCTAGTAGATGTGACTATGATAGAGCACCCGCCTTCATACAGAGCTTTGGTTGTTATGATCTTATTCATTCCTAGATTTGAGTCATCAGCTCATTAGTGCCCATTCAACTTAGCCCTCCTCTGATGAATCCCCTAAAACCTTCCTCATAATTCTACCAATTCCAGCACAGGATTTTTTCTGCTATGCCTCCTGCTTCATCTGGAGCCTAGTGACTTGGACAGTCTAATCTCACAACTGCTTACAATGTTAATCCCTTTCATCTCTTCTTTTGGAACCATTTGGTGATGTTCATGTTTCTGACAACCAAGAACCTTGGAAGAATCTCTCGCCTCAGGCGCTCCTATTTTTGTGCCTAGCTCGGCCGCCTTCCAAATCACCAGAGGCATCATAGAATGCAACTCTCTGTGGAGGATTGGAGGACAAATTGGACACAAATTCATTGGACGGCTGAAGGAAAAAGAAAGGTCAAGGATGCTCCGGCTTGGCCAGCCTCGCAGGCCTGACAGCAGAAGCTGAAATTCTTTCTTTTATAACTTAGGCTTGAATTCAAGGCATTTTTTTTTTAGTCTAGAGACCTTTGGCCTTCACCGCAAACAGAATACTCAGTGGGTGGAGCAAGGCTGTCTGGTGGCAGGAAGGGCATGCTGACCTCTGGCCCTAATGCCTTCCGTAACCTGGAAAGACACAAAAGCTGTGGTGAGTTAGCTGAGCCACCTGGAGCGCTCTGTCAGTATGCAGAATGTTCTAAATCATGTACAGGGTCCTGCTTTTGGAAAGAAGAGTGGCGATGTGTTTATAGGCTCAGAGAAGAAAACATATGGAGAGAAAATGAGATTTAAGAAGAATAAACCTAACTAGTGGCTGCTTTGGGTGTCTAGAAGACAAGAAAAAACTCAGAAAAGAGGCCGGAGTTCTGAGAGGCAGAGATAAGGGAACTTCTACTACCTCTGTCTCTATTTCAGAAGAGATAAAAACCAAATCATAAATCTAAAGATGAAGGTACATTCATCTAGGGAGAGGACTAAACAAGCTGTTATATTTCAAACAACTATTAGGATTGCAAAAAGGAACACTTTTAACTTGCTAGTGGAAGCATTTCTTTCCTGCAAGTCACCTTGGATCAGATCAGACACCAAAGAGAAAATAACAAAAAAGTATTCTTTTGTGCAGGCTAAGAAGCATTAATTTAGGTTGTCTGTACCAAGCTGGATTCCTGGTCCTGGATGCTTTCAAGAAAAAGTAAAAAGTGAAGCAACCAGAGCAGTTATGGGAAATTCAAGTGTGTGCTTTGTTGGTAAGGATGAGAACAGGGGAGTTCCGCTGGCCCAGAGCTGCAAACGAAATCAACGGTCTGCAGTTTGGGAGGTGACCAGAGGACCCAGACCACTGGATCAGGCGCTCAGAGAGCCAGCATGAGCCTTCAAGGCAGTGCTTGTGGGCAGGAGGACAGATCTAAGCTTCCTGCCACTGCCTATGGCAAGTTGGATATGTATCTGCCAGT